GACAGTCTGAAAGACAGTGAGCAAGTTACTCAAGGTAAAGCTCTAATAGACCGCCAAGCTTCCTCATTTACACTGGAAGGGTATTCAAACTATATGTAAAGGAGTACAGGAAATGTCTGTCTCACTGAAGGGAAGATGACAAATAGGTCAGCATTAATTTAAGCATGACTGAAAATATCTTCAAAAATAGCTGTCTGTGGTTACTGGTGTGAGCTGTCTGTGGTGTGAGCTACATCACCCTCATTTATTTAATGTCTACTCTCTGCAATATAAACCTAATTACAGAAATGATCCATTCAGATCAACATAATTTAAGACTAACAGATTGTATTGCAGAGCTTTACAAAAGTCTCTAGGGTTTATTGGACTGCTGGCTCCTACAGGTCTTCACAAGAGGACTGTTCATATCAACACTGCTATCAGGTGAAAAATTGGCCAGTCCCACTTCTGCTTGGCACAGTGCTGCCTCCAGTTTATTTTCTTTGGCTGAATTTAGACCACAAATGAATCACAACAGATACTAGATAAACAACCCTTCAGGCATATGCTGTGTCATCGGCTGTGGGCCAGAGCATCAGACCAACTACATCAAACTGACACATTGCACCAGCATTTATCATCCTGTAGAACTCCATTGTATCATTACCCGCTCTGAGAAAAGGTAAAGAATTGATCACCGGGATCAAGTTAAAGAAATGTAAATGTTCCATTTCAGATATTGCTAATTAAAGCAAATTAAAAAAAAACTTTCTAAATAAAATAAATATAATGTATTACTTCAACAACTGTATAAAGAGAAGATTGAATTTGTAGAACACATACAGATAACACTGCTGAAGAAACTCAGTAACAAAGGTACTCTGTGGGACCACTCCATCCTTATGTTGCCTGAGGACCAGGTAGAAGAGATGAGAGAAATGTAAGTAGGCTGCACAGGGGAAATTATCTTACCTACCACCCTCCAGCAATATATCCTTACAGTTGACATGATCTTTTCAGCAGCAGCAATAGTCAAACTATTTTTCATGGAGCCCTATTGCCAGGGAGCCAAATGCAGATACCTGGAACCCAACTGCTTAAGGGTGCACTCTGCTCAGTTCACAAAGCCACTCTTCTCCTCCTGTCTGTCAGCACTGCAACGTAGGCTGCATCAAATGCACAGGCAGAGACGCTTAAGTATTCAGACCATATCTTTGACAAAAAAGCTCATTTTCTGTACTATATGATGGATCTACTGCTTTTACTTTTTGCTTTTAATCCTTTTGTGGCACTGCTTGCTGCTCTGAACGACAGCTATCACTTGTGCAGCCATGTGGTCACACATTCAGCAACTCAAATGCATGATTTTCACAAGCTCCGGAACATTGTTTCTCTTTGAATGAGTACTGCTAACCACACACCAAGCAGAGTGCACTGGGCACTTTTTTGTAACCTAGCCAGCCTTCTTTTCAGCCACATGGGAAATAACATTTCCACTATGTTAATGAGTTGGAGCTATCAGTGCATTAAGCAGAGCAGACGGGCTACATGAGCAAGTACCATTGCACTTTGAAAAACTGTGAAAGTTGTAACCATGTAGCCCTGTAATACAGTATTGATATTGCTAATAATAAGGCCGCAAATTTTGTACTGAAATTGCAAGGGCTCAGGACTGAAGACTGTCAGCTTTGCTCTGTCTAAACTTTTCTTGACCTGCCTGCAGTTTTGTTTTGCTTGTTTTAGCTGTGACAGTAATTTCTCTAACTGACCAGGTGTCTATGGCTAATTTGTTGTACTTCTGTATATCTTTGCATGAAAAAATCATATTTTTATATACATAGCTATAATAAGCAGTTATTTAACATAATGATATAGTATAGAGAAATAGAGGCCTGGTATGATAGCAGAGGCCTTCAGAAGTGGAGGCACAGGAGGCAGCACAGAAGAATATAGGCATGGGACACAGGCTTGGCACTGGAGATGGCACAGCTATAGACAACTCGCCAGTGGCCAAAGAGATGGACAAAACTGTTTTTCAGGGTAACAAAGAGAACAAAGAAATAGTATCTAGCATATATAAAAGGCACCATATATAGTAAATTCAGATGCAATGAGGAGCTGCAGACCAATGAATACAGAGCAAAGGTGTGGAAGCATGTTAGCAAGTGTGTAAAAATGACTCCAAGTGGATCCTAGAGTGAGGAAGAAGAAACGACCATCAATATGAACAACATATTCCTTCTGATGAAGGACTCCAGATGCTGACAACTCACCATAAAACCCCCACCCACACAAATGAAACCACTGACCTTAGCACCCACAGGAGCAGTGAAAGTGTGAACAAAACTCCAAGAAAAGGGGTAGAAGCTAAGAAGTATAACAATTTTAACTGAATTATTATTCTTTTTTGTAACAATTAGATCTAGACTAACAATGATTCTTGAATAGACTGTTAAGAGTTCAGTCATACTAACAAAAAAGCCTTGTCCTTTTGTGTATATATATAGATAGATAGACAGACAAACAGACAGATAGATAGACAGATAGGTAGATGTGTGCTTCCTCTTTGTATAAACAAGATTCTGAGCGTAACAGTACCTACCCCATTGCTAAGGCTAACACTCAACACTTTATACCTGCTTACATTACACAAGTCAGGATGGAAGCAGAGGAAAGACAATACTGTGGCTATAAGTCTGAATTCTGAGCAAATCTGAATAAGATCATTTATAGCCTAAATCAGGGATTATTGCTTTGGTTGGTGATAAATATGACAGTGGAAAATTAATTAACTGTGGAAATAAAAGCTTAATACATGTAAGATCCTAGTTTGTTAGGAAATTTGTGGATTCAAATGTCAAGTATTTTAAAATAAGCATTTTTCTTGTTATGATTCTCACCATCTTCTGCTGAGAACAGCTGAACAGAGAGGATTTGCATGATTTAGTTTCCTGCAAATCAAGAGACAAAATGAATCAGAATACCTTTCTTTTCCAATTGCTTTTGCTTATCTAGACAGATTGAATGATGAAGCCTTCAGTTCAGACGTTTTTAAATTCAAATCAACAGCCTATTTATACAGTCAAAATCAAACATTTTCAAGCAATTTCCTCTTTTCACCTCTCCTCAAATGCAGTCACTCAAAATTGCAAGTTCTTTCTAAAACCAGGCTAGACTTTCCTACAAATTACATACAAGCTAAAATCGTGTATATTATTCTATTTGAGGAAGTCAATGATAAAAGCTTTCTTATTTTTAGCAAGGAATGTTGCTGGCCTTTCTTCTTTAATTAACATAATTTCATAAGATCATGAACTAGTCATCAAATTTCTTTATATGAAATACTAATAATGAAGCAGTAATTCTGTCAAGTAACTTCTCTGAAAGCTGGAATGACTGTAAGAAATAGTCTTTAAGTACATTACTCTGTAACTGTAAATCGGAATTCCCATATGGAATAAGACTGATCTACTGTCAACATTCAGTTATTCAGGGATATGAGAGGGGACTGGGAAATGATTCAGACAGAACAAAAGACAGGCAAATCGGGCTACAGAATACACACACAGTCCATTTGCCTGAGAAAGAACTTGTAATCAGATGACTGCAGAAGCTAGGTGCAACTACGAATAACAAAAGGCACAATACTACATGATCTCAGTTAACTTTATTGTAGTCAAGCAAACTGAAGGAAAGGCCTTATTCAACCATAGCTTGGACTAACATACAAGTAATCAAAAGGTTAACTGTAGTTTAATCCACTGCCTTCAACATTGTTAGTACCAAACTTCGAGAAGTCTTTTTCAATTAGATGAATAATAAATAAAGCTACACCTGGTTCTCTGATTTTGGCGCTTATTACAGTAAAGATTACAAACATACAAGAAAAAAAGATACTCACCTTGAAGGATACCAGTTATGCACTGGACTGGAGCTCACAAAGGCAGGTCCTATTCTGAAGTTTGCTGCAGATTTGCTGAATAATATTGGGCAATTTATTTTTGCTTTCTGTTCCCCCATATACGCTTTATCTATATTGCCTGTATAAACAATAAATTACTCATGGCAAGACTAGCTCTTTGACGCAATGCACCTTGGTATCAGTGGAAGGCATCTATGCACTAATGCCACAAGATTAGTAATAGCTTAGATAATGACACTTCTATGAAAGTTAATTGACCTACATTTTGTATTTTCAAACTAAAAACAAAAGCTGTAATATTACAGATGCATGGGTTAGAATTTCATGGCATGCATCAAACAGGTACTATTTTAAACACCCGTAAGTTACCTAGATGATATGTGTTTGCAAAACTTTCCAAACTGGTTGCAGCTCTTTCCAGGTAGTATCACATCACAAATACAATCTACTACAGAAGTTCTCTATTGCAAAACATAGTGATGCACACAACCATTTCTTTATTACAAAATGATGTCCAAAGGATATTTGCAAATTCCTACTCATAAGAAAATAGTGTAAGAGAATAGATATTTGTGTAGCAGGATTTCACTTGCAAGCCAAAATACACTAAGTCAGAATTCATTATATTTACCCTCACTAAATCATTTATATATTCCTATGGGAATCTTCCTTTTAAAAGAAATACCTACCTTTCCAGTTTGCAAATAATCAAGTGATTGGTTTTCACACTGTTCAGAGCAACAAAACATACTTATGTATATGACTCTTGATGCCATCGGTAGCATGCTTCATAATCACACAGGAACACCTGGGAAACAGCATACAAACTGCTTGCCATTTTAAGGCAGGCGTTTCCCTCATCTTTATACTGACCTGATCAAAGTGGTGCTTTTAAAACCAGTAACGGCACAGGGTAAATGACTAGTTTTAAGGGTTCTCCGCCTGTAAATTAATTGCTCCAAAGAGTAAAGAACAGCTGAAAAATGTCTCAGCTCTTTTCTGCAACAGTGAGCAAGCCAGTTTGGTTGCAACCCCATAGGAGAAAAAAATTCCTAGGGAACTCCTGGAAAGAAATAGAAAAGGCTACTGATTCCCTGCTTGGATTTGCCTTGATCAATACAGCTGAACACGCCACCAATCCTCCTCCCATCTTCTGTTTATTGGAGAGAAGTCTGCGCTCTTCTGTTGGCTACCAGAGGCAGCCAGTATTCCATCTTTGAGTCACAAAAAGTAGTACAAAATTTGATTCAAAATTAACAGCACTACAAATATATTAAGATAAGCACAATAAGAATCATTAATTATAATCTATTTCTCAACAAAAATAATGCCATCAAATATGAATGAACGCTTTACACTATCACACTAATCCAGATTAAATAAACAATGCTACTTCAAAACATACTTTTAATAAGATCCAAGGCATTTCTAAAGCATTCATTACAGTCTGAAAATTTTAAATTATATGATATTTCTACAAAAAGGTATTAAAATGAGTTTCTTTTTTTAAGTGAGGATTGTTTTACACCGTTTTGAATGTAAAGGGATTATAAGAATGCATATTCAACTTGAATAGGACCAGAATATCAAGATTTAATTTAAATTAAGTCTTTCTGAATAAACAGTCAATATGATTAGTTCCACTGGCAGCCATATGTAGTGTAGATTTACTTTATAATCCATCAAATTTAACCATACTGTGTACCATATTCCCTTTCACCATTCCAGGAAAGCCAAACTAAGACATTTAACTAGAAAGGGATCTGACTTTTAGTGATTACACTGCAGAAAATGTATCATCTACAGTACATAATATTAGTTTCAAAACCGTAACTACCTGCTGGTGGTATCTTTGGAATCACATGTCTTGGTCAAGCAGGAAGTCTGAAAGTCATTCATTTTATGTCAAAATATGACAGAGTTTGCTTTGGCTTTCAAAATATACATACAAAAAACAGGTGAAATTATACACTTATGGTTTCCCACTCTCCAGTAATTATGGGCACTGCTATTTTAAATCTGGAAGAATGCTATGGCTGTCTTCAGGTTTGCCAGCTATGAAATAAGTATTTTTGAAGATGCCCAGGAGAACTGCATTCATTTTCATTTTAGTCCAGCTGCAGCATGTACAGTCTTTAATTTGTGTCTTTAAAGCAGAAGCCATCTAGGAGTCACTGGCTAAAATTACACCTAAAAATATAATTTAAAGTTTGGGTCTATGTTCAGTAAGATCAGGGTAGGAAGGTTGCAGGCATGGCACATGGTGACCATCACTGGCAAGTGTTAGGTCTCTTTCAAATATCAGGACATACAACAACAAAAGGATTAGTATTAACAATGGCAGCAGATACAGGGAAAGAAGAAAGCAGGGGATACTTGAAGGATACACAGTGGTGGTAATTAGTAGTGAGAAGTTATGTGAGTGAAGGAAAAACACTATTTTTTTCTCCTATATATTAATATTCAACAAAGACTGCACATGCTGTTTTCCTCTTTTAGGACACTTCAGTCTGTGACTTCACCATAGAATATACTATGATCGACTACCTTTTTCATTTGATTTCTAAAGCAGTCTTTAATGGACCTTTGCTATCATGACTGTACTACTGTATAGATGCATAGATACTGCTTGATGGCTTTCTACACTACATACATCTGAAAAGAGGATAGATTTTTTTTTACTGTCCCATGGGCCATTTTACACTGCTTCACAATTCAGGATGTGGAAGCCACACTTTACAGGTGAAAGAATATTTTTGGCTTGGATTGTTAGGAAACAAATGCTAGTTAGCCATTCATATGCTACAAACAAACCACTGCAAAAACACTTGCCAGCCTATGAAGTGTACACAGTATACCTCTGTATCAAATTACTTATGAGTAATTATACAATGGCCACAATGTTAATAATTTTCAACAGAGTTAGTAGGGCTATGTCACCAAGTGCAGTCTGGTTACTTTCAACAGTTATGCCTGCCACAGTACCAACTGCAGAGAAAAGCCCTCATAAGTATTCCTTACTAAACTGTAGACAAAAAATAGCTTCTGCACTGCTACTGCACTGAGACATTTTCATCTCCACTTAATATAGAGCATATAAATATTGAAATTCTCAAAGTGCTTTTAAGCACTATAGTTTTGATTAGCAGCAAAGCATGTATTTAATTTACTTACTCTCTGTAAAACAGTCACTGAGTGTGTATATAAAATGTATACGCATGTACATCACACATTTTATATACACATATCTATACAATGTATGCCTAAAGATAGACATATAATATACAGATATTCTGAAAGAGTAGTTAAAACAGCTATTTTTAAAATAACAGTCCTGTCAGAAGCTATGCCAGTTGCAAATTTTGACTATTAACATGTCATATCAGCAGTAAAAAAACTACGTCTAAATATTAAAATCATGCTGATGATGTTTAACCTGTTTCTAGTCCCGATACAGTGAACCTACATAAATTTGCTGTCCAGTGATATGACAAAACTCTTTTTCTTCCCATAAAAGACATGACCAGATATTTTAAAAGGCTATAGGCCTTAAAATATAGTTCCAGAAAACCTGACTATGAAGCAACTCTTAAAAGAAAAATACATTATAAAAATAGAAGATGTGTACTGTTGGGAGCTGTGTTTTCCACCTAATGTACAAACCTGGAAGCATCTTGTCAAATGTTCCTTGTAAAGTGCTTATGCTGTAAACAAATCTCTGTTAACAGTATCATCCTGAAAATATCACATGTGAGGTCTCTTGAAGCTGTCCAACACTGGAATTCCTTCTGGATGCTATTGATGAGCAAAGTTTGTCCCTTTGGTAATGAGGGAGCATCTGCTGAAGTACAGGAAGTTTAACTCTATCAGGAACAGTTCTGAACAGTTTGTTCATAATTACAAGTCCTCCCTTTTTGCTGGGTAGTTCTTTGGTCCCCTTGATAGTAGAGATACCTGAAAAAAATTGGTAGTTAACATTATGTTGGAACTAAGATTCCTCAACTATTCACCATCACCAGGTGTAGGATCAACCTTTGTGCTATCAGCAGAAAGCAACCATGCTATCAATATGATGTACAAGCCAAGGAACTCCAGATGTCTATTCAAAGAAATGTTTTAGTTCAGAGTTTAGAACAGAGTTTGATGCCAAAATCTCTGGGTGAAATTCTATCATTTACGCTATACGCAGGGAATTAGTTTGCCTAATGATCCTCTGACTCAAAATTTATGGACTTGTCTGCACAGCACACAAATAGAATTAGAGCAGCATGGTGCAAAGGTCTCCTACAGCTAATCAATGAGGCCTGAGTACAGCCTAAACCATTTGTGGGCCAGATTTAACTTGTGTTGCTGATGTAATATCTCCAGAGACTTCAGCACAATGGAGAACTTAGTCAAAAGAAAGTATTTAAAATCACTTCCTTTTCCTTTGCTAATCCTTCTTTAGATGTCTAGAAGGTAAACGGGCATAGAAAGTGATGAAGCTTCTTCTATAAGCTTTATATGTGTGAAGACTACCCCATTAAATAAATTATGTTGTATATATTATAATTATCCTATGAAAATATGAAGTAAAGACTTCTCATAAACAGTGCTGTCAGAAAGTAAAACAAGTTTCTCTTTTGTCTCAAACCTCCACTACTCTCTATTGCAAGAGCAAGACCTCTTCACACCTTTTCTCCTTGACATAAATATACACCGTCTATAACCCAGATATCCAAAACTTAAGTCCTATCAAACATTCCTCTATACAAAAAATATCTCGGCAAGCACACTGATTACACCGAAAGGCATGGAAATATTCCAGTAATGAGGAAAGAAAAACTATAGCTTTACAACACATATCAGCACATGCACACATCATTCCGCGCTGTAAAGGATGAATCTTTCAGCACCTTCAGTGGCACAGATTTCTAGAGCTACAGGACTCTGTGGAAAAGTCACGGGATTAAGGTGTTCCAGAGATACAAAACTCCAGTTAAGACAAATGGCTGTTTCCTTCTTTAGGTAATTTTCAGACAAATGGTCTCAAGTAAAAGGTTTCAGATTAAATTTCAAAACTGATGCTGATATTTCAGTAAGGCCTAAGAGTTACCTTATCTTTATGGAGTACCAAATTAGAGCCATGAAGATCTGACTTTCTGTTATCTGCAAACAGGTCCGCTGGGAAAAAGGCAGTTTTCATGAAAAAGTGATACAACTGTATCTTGAGGGACACTGTGTCAATTAGCATTATACTGGCATTCTAGAATAGCTCTGGTTGTATCTTACCCTGCTACAGGCAAAACAGCCACATGTGTAACAATGTGAAACTCTTCCTCTAGCTACAGTTATCAGGGATATCTTGAGATAGCTCCAAAGAATTTATCTACATATGGCTATGATTTTTGAATACTAAGGCCAATCATGTATTCCATCTGTTAGAAAACTTTCAGATCGCCCTTCACTTAGCCTAAGAAGAAAGCCAGCCCCTAAAACTCCTTTCAATAACATCTTGCAATCAGATGTACTTCTTTCATCTCAGCAGAACTGCCCTAGCTAAACCATACCAAAAAAGTCTCAAACGGTAAGAGATTCCCTTCACTACAGCTCAAAGTGCCTAGTTCACAGAAGTTGTGTAAGATAGAGTTCCGATACCACAAGAATGATTCCAGACTACAGTGAGCTTTGAGAACCACCCAGAGCACGAATGTGCCTTCTCGTTTGATGTTATCTGACAGACTTCATCTATGATCTATAAAAAGAAATCTACCAAGTTGACATCTCATGGACACACAGAAGTCATTCTTGAATGGCAGACAGATCCACTTCAGAACTTAAACTGGCAGACAGATCCACTTCAGAACTGGAAGAGCAAACCAACCTTATCCCTGTCAAACACATTTGTGATGACAGATGCTTCCGTTCAGAGATGGGAAGCTCATATAAGAATGTCTGAGAGCTCCGGGCATGTGATCTCTACAAGGGATCAGAGCCATCTGCCTAGTATTGAAAACAGTCATTTCCACAGCTCAAATGCTGACAGACAGCTCCATAAACATGTACTTCTACAGACAATGTGGACTTAAGTCATCTGCACTGTCAAGAGACTATTTAAATTTTGTATATTCATCACTGAACTGTACCAACAATTGAGGATCTACCAGGCATCCAAAATTTTGCAGCAGACCAGATACCCCTTCACCTTTTCAACATAAGGACTGAAATGTACCTTTCCACCTACTGCATTGCTAAAGAGAATCTTCAGACAACTGAATAAGGAGTGATCTCCTATGTCAATGATAGTCCTAACACAGGACTTTCTTATTTTGGTACTTACACCAGATGGATCCCTGGATCACACCCCTGTTCTGCTGAACATAATCTCATAACATAATCTTTTTGTGTCATTGGACTGGTGGCCACCCCTGAGGTGACCAGAACATTCCTACCACTCTCTAAAGATCCAGTTACCAGTAACACTTGGCCATGAGATTTTCTCATGCACAAGTGCAAATTCCCTAGGATCTAAGACATAAATTTTCTCTAGCTTGAGGAGAATAAAGATCTGAGATTGAAGTCTCAAAGCTTCAAATAGTCAAAATGCAGAATCTGCTGTCATTCCTGAGCTATATTATCCTCCTCTGCAAGTCATTATTTCTCTAGAACTGTTCTCTATACCATTAACAGTAAGTCTTGGTACACATGTCTTCTCTTTCAGACGTAGCTACTACTGATGTGGCTTCTAACAACTCCTTGGTAAAATTTATGTCTCTAGCAATCACGAAAAGGCGCAGTGAACATACCACTGTATTCAGTGGTGAATTATATCCAATAAGTGTCTTTAACTCATCCCTTGACCAAATATTTCTTCGTCATTGGAATACTCTATATTCACCAACGTGATGAGAATTAGCCACTGCCTCATCATAGAAGTTGGATGAAATTGCAGCCAGTATCAATTGTTACACCATGTTTTCATGTTGCTCCTCTGCTTTCTAATAATTTCTGCAGAATCTGTGATTTGGGAAGCACAGGCCTGCTATACTGCCTCTTAGTGGAAGGACAGCTAACCCAAAAGATGTAGTAAATGTTGGTTTATGGGAATAGGACTGCCTACATACCACCAGAATTGCAGGTGGGTAGATCAACGACTCTTGCAGCCATGGATATTTAGAAAAAAAAAGGGAAGACTGCTGAGCTTTGTCAACCTTTTATGTTTTGGGGGGGAAGAGATACAAACCAAGAGAGTGCTATATGGCTCTAGTAAATGCTGCTGCCCAGAATAACCTTCTTTTCTGTATATGAGACATGAGAAGTGAGAACCAGTGTGGATAAACACTTGGAAGAAGTCATCAATTAACTGAAGACGCAAGGCAACATTAACAGGTAGTAGTGGTAGAACAGAATAACATGTAGCAGAGTTTCTTAAATCACCCACACATCACAAAGTCAAAAAATCCACTTGAAATTTCAGCAGCACTGGAGCTATGTACTTTCACCTACTGGCTAGTAGGCAAATAATAAAAAAAAATAGGAGGTCGTAATAAAAAAATTAGCTAACCTAAATAAAAATTTGAATACTTTAATCATACAACACAATTAAACAGGCAAATTAACATCGAAGAATAAATAGATAAAATGAAGAGAATTTGCAGATTTAAAAAAGTAATGCATTTATATTTTTGAATGATGTACCAGTAGACCATTAGCCCTAACAGAAATGAAGTCTGCCTCCAACAGTCAAGTCAGAATCTGCTGTCATTTCTGAGCTATATTATCCTCTTGTGAGCAACACCTTGAGAAATTCTTTGACTAGCTAATAATGTTTAACTATCATTAGAACCAGAGTTGAGCTTTCCTCTTTCGAAAAAACTCTTTGTAACTACATTAATGTTTCTCTAATTCTAAAATTCCAATAAAATCAGAAAAGAAGCATTGAACTAAGCTGTGAAAAATATGATAAATGACAACATTTTAATTTATGCATTTGATTATGAACACTATTTCCTTTTATTCTTGCACTGCTACTTTTCTGTATCCCACAAAACTAATCTTGAAACAATATTTCTCCCATAAACAGACCTCAGGTCACAGATGCAATAAAACTTTTCCTTTATACTGTCAATGAGCTACAGCAGTCAACTGAACTCAACTATTGTTTCTAACATTGGTATTTTTGTTTATTTGTAACGCATCCTTTTTATATAATTCAGTTGCTGCTTGGATTAAGTCTCTAAATGCAATTAATTTAAAACAGATTTTTGCATCTGTTTGATATTACATGTTTACCTCAACATATGGAAGACAATGAGAGTTTGAAACTAGTCTTCATTGTGCTCTTCAAATGTGGTCTCACAAAAAACCTCCTGTCTCTTGTGTGGTATAATATTAAATTCAGGCGGGGAAAAAAGGAAAGAATAGCATAATGGGTGTGAATATAATAACTGTGAAACATCCAGTGTTTTTTTTAATGTGTTCTTACTAAATGTTTGTATAAATAAGTAATACAATCAGAGCTCTGAGTAATTTCAGGGCATTAGTGACAAATGGGCACAAGTTGATTATTCAAGATAAAGCTGAGGGTCATTATCCTCAGTTGGTCATTAATCCCCATGAAATGACTGGAATTGAGATAGTAATTACTATTATAATGAAAATGAAAAAAGAAGCATGACATTTTTCTTATGAAGCTGTCTCTCAGTTTCTAAAAAATTAATGCTTCTCTCATCACTCAATCAAGTTGCTTGAATCATTTTTAACCCTTTATACAGTCTATTCATCTTACTACATTTTTTATGCCATCTCCCCACTTAAGATTTGGTGTCCTATTATAAATACCCGGAATTTGGGTTAGACATCCCCCTCCCCCAAAAAACGAGAAGAAAAGCAACAACATTTTTAAAATGTTTTTTCTATAAAGCCTGCTCCACAATGAGATAGGAGACTTCATTATTATGCTATACACAATCAAGTTACTTATTCTGCATTTAGTAGCACCTTTAGGCAAAGCACCCATGCCCCGTGCTTTTGCACAGTAGTTTGGAATCCTTGGTTCAAAAACAGAATTAATCTTGTAGCTTTGCAATATATGAAATCAATACTGTCAAGTTACATTGTTCAGAAATCATCAAGAAATTGGCCCTAAGACGAAGAAACAGCTTTAAAAATTATGTAACTTTACAAATAAATTTTGTGGTGCTCTGGTGTGCCTTCGGAGGTTTTTTGAGTCTCTGGAGTCATTTTTTCACACATCTATTGGAAGAGCTAAAATTAACAGCAAGAAGGAAGGCAATTTGTTTCCCCACTAGAAATACTATTATTTTTTATTTCCATTTTGAGAGTCTCACACAGGCTGCCTCATTCCAACTTCCCAATCTAGCAACTGAAGACCTCAATCCAACCTAAAAGCATTTTAAATAAGCTACAAAAGTTAAAAATAGGAACGCTGCCCTGCTACATGTTCCTAACACAAACAAGATACATATACTTATTACTCCTATACCTTTTTTCCAAAGCTTTCTCTGTAAATACTTTTCTAAGAAAGGGATCCCAGGAAAGCTACAGGATGTGCTGAGTTTCTGCTGGAAAATTTGCAATTGCTTCTGAAACGGTCCACTGTGTATAATGGAGAGGAAGTGGAGTAAGACTCATAACAGCTTTAGGCAAGAATGGCTGATAGGATGTTAATCTTGGGCTGCAAATCAACTTCTGTATGGTGGAATAAAACCAAATAATATAATAGTGGACGCTGATAAGTGGTTTGGACTGCAGCTTGGAAGAGCGATTTGTCCTGGCTTGCTTAAGCTGTTCGAGGTAAAACCTAATGATGCATGTCTGCTAGCCATACGAATTGTTTGATATTGGACAGCTATCAAAATTTAACTGTTTGGTTGTTTGGACAGAGCATGAGAAGCAAAAAAATTGCCTGAGTTCTGAAAGCTCTGAAGTGCATTGAGCATAGAATACTGTAGAAGACATGGTAGGCCTTCTGGAAACAGAGAAGGATGTTTTTGACAGCCAAGGCCAAAGTATGGTGTGTCAAAACATTTTCTGAAACAGAGAAAAAATATATCTAATTATTTGGGAGGAGAACATGGACTGGAAAAGGAGTAATGTAATAGTAATGGGGAACCAAATATAATTACAGTTCACAGCAGATAATAGGATGCAATAGCATGGTGAAAAACTGAGGGCACATATTGTTGCCAGTGACAGATCAACAACTGGGTTGCTGTATGGCTATTCTTTACATGCGAACTAAAGTCAGGACATGCTAGAGTGACAAACATGCACTGGAGTGGTTCAAAGCCTCTAACAATAGCTGCTATATACACGTTAACAATTGTAAGCAAGACACAGAAACAAATCAAAATTTAGGCAACACACTTCGAAAGAGAAGATTTCACTCCATTCCTTTCACCCACTCCAGGGTCAATTTTGGCTTCACTACAAGCCCCACGAATGAAGTACAAATCAGCACTGCCTGTGGATAGTATTATTAGCACTGCTGAGGAATCAGCATGACTCAGGGGAGTCACAATTTGACTTCCAGTTTTTCTGTGCTCCTGCGAAAATCAAACATACTGTACAGCACATCCACCAATGTGAAGAATGATGCTGAACATTGCCGGGTCTTCTTTAGCCTTTATGTATGTGCAGAAATGTACTGACCCAGCTTACTCTTTTCCTCCAGCTTCCTCCTGTAGGATAAACACCATAGAGAAGAAATACCTTATACTACACTGTCCTCCTGTGTGGCTATGAAGAATGGTCTCTTTTACCTCCTCTAAAATGAAATTTCCAAAAATGTAAAAAAAAAAAAAAACTTTAAGATTCTAAAGAACAGCTGCACTGTAGGGAATCCTAGCACAGTAGAGAAATAAGTAGTCATAAACAAGCACTGTCACTAGAAAAAATAGAATATTATTATTTCAGTGCTGTTAGTCTCCTGTGCATTAATGTCACATTCCTATGTTACACGTTGAAAGTACTAGCATATTTTACTGTAATCTTTAAGCACTCTATACATTCCCATTAATAGAAATCTTATTTTTATACTAGTGTATGTAAAAGACTCATGCCCACATTCAGCAAACACCTGCTCAGTTACAGTTAATTGTAATAAGATGCCTTTTTGGGGAGTTAAATGCCTGTACAAATACAACACATTTATACATTTATAATAAGGCCTGCTAGATCTTGATGTTAAAAATGAGAGCTTTTTCATAATTTTATCACAAGTTGTGCACCATTTAATATTTTTCCTACAGCTCCAAATCTTGGGAGCATGTGATTGAGATAAAAATTTAAACTACTTGAGAAGTCTTAGAAACAAAATTGTTAGACCTCATGGCTGCAAAAATGATTTGCAAACAAGTGTACCCTAAAGGTTTACAGCAAAAATTATTATATATGTTTTATTTTACTTCAGGAGTGCTGAATGGCATTTTTTCAATACTTGCAGCTGCAAGTTGCAAGAAACTTGTAAGCTAGAATTCCGATTTAATAAGAACCTTATGAAAATATTCAGACTAAAAATTGAAACTTCTCACATGACAGTCAATCAGTAGTGCCATAGAGAAAAGTGTACTGAGCTTGCAGAGTTAATAGACAACTGGAAGATCACTGAAGCATCACAAGTTACAAATTCTTAAAGCCTTTTAACATCAGGATTTGGGTTTCTATTTTTGTTTCAGAAAAACTAACTGCAGTCTCCCAGTCTTTAATATGCTGATTACTGTCAAGAGGAAGAACAGACTTGGTGGAAGTAGTGAAATATTTTTGCACTTAAGTAAAACTGTGATGACAAATAACAGGCTAGCAAGTAAAAAGATAAGAAATGCTAAGCTTATGTTTTGGACTATATCCCACATTTTTTATATATTCTCTTTCTTGGGTTCCTCAAAGGTTTTCTGCAGAATAGATTTACCATCTCAAGGACAAGTCACCTGCCTGATTTGAAACACCTTTAAAATTTTTTTCCTTGCCCTTTTGTGTTAGCAACCACTTTTTCTGCATTTTGTGTTGTACTCAAACATCTCACTAAATACATCAGCTTAACCCTTTCAGCCCTCTAACAACAGAGTATTATAATGCATTTCTATTAAAATGAGTGGGATCACCTTTTGCTCAGCTGCACTTTTAATATGGAAAAAAATTGAGGAGATTGCTGCCAAACTTGTCCCACTTTTGTTATTTGAGTGAGGAAACCATGGGGCCAAAACAGCTTAGATTAGCTAATGTGTCCCAAATCAATTTCTTCCAGTCCACACATCCATGTGTTATAATAAAAAGTGTATTGCACTAAGTTTAAAGTGAAATTGCAGTTACTAAAACAGAAAAAAATGATAAATCTTTTCAGTACAGCATAATTTAATCTTTCCTTTTTAAATTGAACACTCAGGACACTAACTCACCTGTTAGAAGAGAAATTGTAATAACCAGTTTCTTCTAAAACCTCTTCAATTAGAGTCTACGAGTTAAAAGAAATTCACTTCAGTAAAATTATGTTTTGAGTAACAAAATAAGATTATCGCTTAAAATATATAAACATCTCACCTGCAACTGTTCATATGTCATCCCTTCTGCTGTGTCAAAAGTGCCCACAATACCTTAAAGTAAAAGACAAATAACGTTATACTACTGAATTTATGCAATGAATTTATGAGCTATGCACTCTAATCAGTTTCTCAGCAATTCCAGTGCAAACATACTGACAACAGAGACACTTGTTTAATAAGAATATATTTAGTTTTGATTAGCAGCAGTTTATTGCACTGACCACAATGACCCTTTGTAAAGGTGAGAGGGGTCTTACGGCGTGATGTGAACATCTGAAGCACAGGATGTTATATTATGAAAGAGAGTCATAACTGACGGAAAAGTATTGATTTTTTGGAATATTTAATGTGAAAGAACATAACAATGCATCACTTTGCTACAGTTCCCCACTTACTATTTGTAGTGGACTGCAGCAAATTATGAAGACAAAAGTATTTTTTGCTTGTTAAGAGATTCAAAAATTACAGAAACTGAGCATTTGATCAGTTTGCATGGTTATCTCAGAATAAAATTAAACCTCACGTTTAAAGCCATCGCTAGGGACTCATTTCTTACTCAAATGTCTTCCTCCACAGCTGGTTTACTTTCTGTTTTCACAATAAGCTATGGAAGCGATATGCCAGTTTCAACCTACAGGCCAGTAAAACAAAAGCTTTTCACCCTTCTTTCAGTAACGACTGTTTTTAATCTTTTTATGTCCTCTGGTCCATGAATTGCAATATAACTTTTCCTGTACTTAGAAGAACAGAATTGATAAAACACAAGCTGCATGTTTCCCTTAGGTCCTCTCAATACTCTCTTGCCTTTATCGCACAAAGATGCATATTACAGAGCAAGTCCTCTGACTTAGGAACTGTGGTTCCCCACCTTGGATGCTGCTAGTGCTAGTGGGTTTGACTAAAGATGCAGCTCATGATTTGTCACTGCGTGTATTGCTAGTCTGAAGTGTATTTGACTCTATTCATTGTTTAAAGTATACATATATACATTTCACCATATACCTTGTAGTATAGCATATACATTTTGCTTTACAGTTCCTCCTCATGTTTCTGGGGCATAATCCAGATATGCAATTAAATCATCCCAGTATAAATAGGTTCGACACATGATAGAAGAATAACATAGGGTTTATATACAGTTTGTTTAAAAAAACATGTAGAAGGATAGATAAATCCTAAGCAGGTCTTTTTCAGTCACAAACACTCCTACTGATTTTTATGGGAACAATGCGCTATTTGCATCTTTGATATTTCTTCATAACTCAGAAATATACTCTTTTAAATTAGCAGAATGTTCCACAAGTGGTAAACTGCACACCTTACCAGGAATTAAAAACAAAACAAAAAAATAAACAAAAAAATCTACTGATATTGAAAAGCAGTATAGTTAACATAAATTCATTGCCTTTAAAAACAAGTCCTTCCACTTCAGTGCCATACCCTTAATAGAAAAATATATGTCACTACAGAGGTTTTGTTGCTTTCTTTACCTTTTCTATCATCAGGAACCAATATATCTCTACCTGAAGAGAGAAGTAACGCATGGCAATCTGCTGTGAAGAAGTTGGGCTCAATCATTTCAGGAGAACCTTGGAGCAGCTGTGGCAGGGAAAAAAAGGAAAAAACAGAACACATCTGAAATCCCCACCCTTTTTTTTTTGCCAAAACCTCAGATATCTGTAAGAAGTGTACAGTTTCCTATGCTTTCCACCACAATCAGAGGTAAAAGGAGATTTCAGTACATTTTAGATTAATTAAAAAGTGGTGAACACAATTGTGAGCGTGGTACCTTCCTCTCTCCAGAGATATTTACTGAACAAGCTGCCAACCTACACTTGGTATAAAGCACAGAGTTCTTTGGGCTATCTGAATAAAACATCATAAGCTATACATTAGTGTGAAGGTAAACAGGGAAGTCTGGTCCCTTAGACCTAGGAGAGAAAGTCAATGACTTTGGTTTTCAAAACTGGGTCTCAAGTGAAATTGTTAGTCCATATTCAAGTGGTATAATTTCTATTAACAGGATCCCAGCACTTCCAAAAGCTGAAAATCAGTTCAGCTATTTAGTTTTTGATGTCAAACTTTTAAACATCTAATTCTGAAAATATTCACTGCTACAGCTTTGTAATATTTTTGTAGGCAAGAAGGGAAGAAATTCCAGTTATGCATTTCTTCATCATGTTAACATTTTTCATTTAAGCGCTTCTGAAGTTACACAAATAGAATAATATCTGCTGTTGGAAGTCCTTTACCTCACTACTGACCAGTGGAGGAATCTTTCTGTCTGTTATTCTAATTTGGTGTTCTAGTTCTACACTGTTTTAAAAAAAAAAAAGATTTTTTAATTTTCTTTGTGAAAATTGCACAACCTATTAATGATACTTTCTAGAAGACGATTCCAATATTCAACTTAAATTTTTCTCTCTTTTGGTTCTTCCTATTAACTCCAAGTTATATTCATACTAGCTAGCATCGTTATGATGATGATTCTGGTAAGATTCTGAGAGCGTGCTTAGGTGGAAATACTTACCTGGCTATCATTGACTTACGATATGTATCATTTATTTACTGATGTTAAGCAGTGCCTCATCTTCTAATTATGCTTTTTGTTGTTGTTGTTGTCTTTAAATAATTTCTACCAATGATTTCCTTCAAGATAGAAATGCCCAGAATTGCATTCAGCATTTCACACGTCTTCAATTTACTACCATTTACTTTTAAAATAGACTATTTCTTCCCTCTTCTTCAGTCTTCCATCTGATAGTTTTGAAGCTAACACAATTTTATAGCTGACAACATTTATAAAGTCATAAATAAATAGGTTCCTTTATTTCTAGACATTTGTAAAATTAGGCTAATTTTTAATATACATTTCTCTTCTCTTATCTTATTTTTGGGCACCCTTTCCTGGAAACATCCATTCAATAAATGAATAGAAAATATTTCGTTAGACTTAACGTTATGGTTGAAATACAGGAACTGTCTAATATAAAATCCCAGCTTGATTTACAGACAGCAAATGAGCATGAAACTGATGCCTCAAAGGGAGATAACTCATCTTTTGATATCTTTCAAAGGCACTACCTATGTAAACACTAAATAGCCACTTTCCATGAAGCTTTAGTGTCTCAGATAAGCTATGAAAGTAGACAGAGGATTTGGAAACTGGGGTCATTCCATTCCACAGCAAGCAATAATTTAGAAGATTCCACGTTTCATTGTAAGTTTGGCTGGGCACAGGAAGGACTTGAATTTCCATTTCTTATATCTCAAGTGAATGTTAAAAAATAATCTTTGTCTTTTTAGATACACTAGTATACCTAATAACTGCTTTGTCATCAATTCAACAGCGAAACATCTAAGCCTCACAGTGTTCCACAGCACCCAGATGTGAGGATGTCATTTGCAGATCCTCTGCTGAGTATAGTCTTCTCAGATTATGAAGAAGGAACATTTAGAAATTCTAACATCAGTCATGAAGAACTCTTTCTGTGTTGGAAAGTGTCCAAAAAGTGGCATGCATGGTTCTTTAGTCTTGCAGTTCTTGCAAATCCGTGTTATTTTTAAAGTAGGGATACTAAATTGTTGCTGACACATTATTCAACAATTGGACAAGATATTCTATACTCACGATACTCTGGTCAGTTTATGTGCTTTCATAGATGGGTAGATAGACATTCCATATCACAAGAAATATTTGCAAGCTAATAATAAATAAAGAAGAGCTTACATAATCTCTATCAGCCTTTACTACAGAAATCAGCCTTTACCACAGAAAATTATATTTTCCTTCCTCTTTTCTTTCTCTGAGCTCTGATGAGACGGATTTTGTTTTGCATTTTAGCAGCTAGTTGGGCCTTTCCATTTACAACATATGTTCTAATGATCAAAGACACACTTGAAATGAATCAGCATCAACTGCTTACCTAAGAAGCCTCCATATTTTCCAAATAAATGATAGTCAGAGCATATGCTAAATACTTCCTTTAAAAATTCGAAGCTTACACTTGTATTTTTGTGATATTAGTATTGATAGGTTAATTCAAACAGAGGAGAGAAACTCTGCCATTGATAGTAGAATTAGTGTACTGCACCTTTTTCATTTCTGATTTCAGGTTACAAGGATTGCTCTGCTGACTGAAGAGGGACTTCTTGAATCTCTCGATGACTCTCCTTTTCAAGTTGCATTGCAAAGCTGGAGGAAGCTATATGAGACAGATAAATTGATGTTATCATTGCTCAGTTACACCTCCTATAAAGATCACCTAGTCAGCAGTACCATTACTGAAAAAAGCAGTCATACTGCAGAAAATACACATTGATGTTTAATAGCATAGTGATAAACAACAGTACAAAAACTGATTTAATGGCATATTATAATAATGCTTGTTAGTTTACCCATTCTGTTAGGATTGGCACACCTTATAACTTAGTCCCTCTAGCCATTACAGAAAAGATCATTATATTGAGCCTAATATAGGTTTGCCTAGATTTGCCTCCCTGACCAAAGTGATCAAGTGCTAATATTTGGGACGTTTCTCTAGGGATGAAGCCCAAGAGAAAAGAGCAGACCATGCACAGAGAGTTAGGCTAGATTTCATGTTGCCTATTTCTCTGGCTGAAAGTAATGGAACTGCAAGAGGCTAAGCCCTTCACCAATGCATGAAGAAATTAATGTGAATCTTCCTCATGATTTCAGTGGGCTTTTTGAGGACTTTATGTATATCTTAATATAATTCAGAACAGCTCTTTTATCAGAAGCTTCCTATGGGAGGTAATTTACATTTCATTTGTCTATAAACCATATAGCAAATCTGATTTTGTATACTTTTTCTTCTGTACTTGTGGGTTAAATATACACATCTCTCAATTGTACTTGCAAAAGAAAAGCACACAGAATAGTTTATTGGGGTTTTAAAAAGTCTTCTACAGGCAGTTTAAAGGAGCTCTCTTCCTTTGCTGTTTGAGATTTTTTAAATCATTTTTATGCTCCAGCAGTAAATGTAAAGCTTCAGCTGTTGGTCACTGCAGTCATATTGATATTCGCACCTGTCATCATTCTAGCTTGATGATCATTCTGTGGCATATCTTACCATTTGGAATACGATCTCCTACTCTATTTCTGTACAGCTGTTTACACCAGTGATTTCCTATACTGCGATTTCCTACCATTCAGTAAACACTTTATAATCACTTCACTGGTGCAAATTCACAAAGTGCCACTCCATTGAACTCAGGAAGCTTTTTAACTACACAAGAAAGGTCTGGCCATTACTGACTCATATTCAAAACACTGTCACAGCACACATTAAAAAGAATTTTTCCTTCTGGAAAGATTTACTGTACTTAGATGGCTGTAAAATCTGGAACAGCAGTACTGGCCTCACAGGAGCTGCTCCTGATTTGCCGTGGCAAACTTGAGATCAGGATTGAATCCTAAGTGTGAAAGACTACAGCAGAAAGCTGGTTGCATATAGCTTTCTGTTACAGATAGGTACTACTGTCTCTTCATGTAGATAATGCCTCACATGCATATTGCAAGTCAGATCTTGGAATGTTCTTAACCTAAAAGTGAGTAAAAAATGATGCCTAAGGAAAGGCCTGCCAGATAGTCTATAGACTATGTGCCACTGCAATGAGCTATGTATGTACTACTGACATACTGGGAAACTCAGAAGCAGAGGTGGTAAAGGACAAGTCCCCTGCATGAGAAACTCAGAGTTGCCGTGGCACTAGTGTTCAATTTTAGCTTTTGTTTTAATGAAATCAGATGTTACATTAGTTAAAAAAAAATAAAAAAAGAAAGAAAGAAACTAAAAAAAAGGCCAAAGATTTACATAATACTTTTTAAAAAGCTTTCTCTTACTTTATATTCCACAGATCAGTCGGCCTCTTGTTTCCATGGCAACTGGATTGGAAAGGCTGCGGCAGCCAAGAGCTAACAGCTAAGGATTCTCCCTTGTAAACTTCAGTTTAGAGTTGTCAGCTAAAGTATGTAACCGAGAGTTTTAGGAAACAGCTATGTATTTTAAAAGAATGCTCGACCTCAGATTTGTACGAATATAAATAAGTGCAAGAGAAGCATACAGCACATGGTGAACAAGGACAGGTGAGGATCCTGGCTTCTCTGCCTTCCCCTCCTGAAACCAACCCACATGGAAAGTACCGAAGTTGTTACTATTGGTTACACGGTCAATTTAGGGTAAGTCTTTGAGTCTCCATTAGTTCTTGGGTATTGAGGTGTCCATATTATGATAACTGGCACTAATAACAAGCCACCTGAGAAAACTTTCTTCACTATAAGGGGTAAGCTCACTAATGAACACCTTGGGCACATAATAAAAAAAAAACTGCTTCATTTCTGTCAGCAGGTGCTAGAACCATTCTGGCAATAAAGGCAGTCAATTCAAATTATTTTAAATAATTATTTTTTTCTTTGTCCTTTATAATTTATTTCCTGTGTTACCTGTTTTGATAAGTTTGACAGTTCCAAAAAAATTTAAGCAAGACATGGCAGATGCATATAACTTCAGTTGTGCTAATCTATTTTAAAAGAAATGACACAAATGTGGCTCAGTGATCTGAAAGCCACTGCGGTCATGAATATCTCTTGCCAAGTATAAACGTTTCACTTTGGAAGGAAAAAAGATTTTTTTTTCTTAAAATAGCAAATTTTGAGGTAACAATGTCAACCACCTTCCTTGAGAGCAAAAAGTCTTCTGCTCCATTTTCAGTTGAGAGTTCAATGCAGAGCTATACCCATTCCATTTTTGCTTCGGAATCAGCATGAAATAACTTTAATTACCTTTCATCACGAAACATTTGAACTTAATTTTAAAATCAGTCTTAAGTTTGAAAAAGACCTGTATTGAAGTTTCAAAATATTTAAACTAACATATGCAGGATTTGAACTACTGCTCTAGAAATCCAAAGAAATTACTATATACTAATAATACAAATTATTACTTAGAAATTATTTAGAAATTATTATTATAGAGGAAAACATTTTAGGAGTTTTCCTCATCAGTATTTGATATCAAGTCACTTAAAACAGTCATATTACTGACCTGACAGAATGTTGTAAAAACAAGTTATTGTACAATCCATTTTTCTGAGGTAAGCCAAAAGATTTTTTTTTAAGAATTTTTTTCACATTATTGCCATCCTCCACATACTAATATTCAAGGTTAGTCTTTATTTAAATTATATATTTTTAAAACATCCTGCCATCTGCAAAAATGTCAAGTTCTGTTGTTTTTGAAGAACGGTGACTAAATTAGCAGCGCTTTGCGGTACCATCATTTTGACAACAGCAAATAACTAAGACAGAATGTCAGAAGCAACAGTAACGCATACTTGAGTGATGAAGATAATTTTGTGGAGCTGAATAAGAATCTGCTGAACAGGGTCACTGATCTGACGCACCTTCCTTTGTGATACAGCAATTCCTGCCGATGCTGTAGAGACAATACTAAAATCAGAAGAGCTCATTTTGTCCCTTGTATATATTAGTAGCATGCACTGTTTACAAACTGTAGACGAATATATTGAATTTTAATGTATGCCTTGTTTTTCCAATAGTATTCAGAATAAAAAAAAGAATAACCTGAAAACTTAAAAGTTAGATAATGTTAATTTACATATTTCAAAAGAAAAACCTTTCCTGAGTCACGTACACTAAGTTTCTCTATCAGAGAGAGAAGCAGCATTAATGTTCCCTGTAATTCATTCATATGGAAAACTAAAGATAGGATAAATAGAATTTTCTTATTTAAACTGAACTGTTTTTTTCCTCATAGACTGACATATATGTTTTAAATATTTTATGTTATGAAATAAATCTTCTTTTACCTGTAAGAATTACAACACCAAGTTTTAAGTGGGCAATCTGGAAAACCATTTTATCAAAATATATTTTCACTTGCCTTACAGTAGCATGTGTTGCTTTATCATAACTAGTGATACAACTAGTTTCTTTTCCTAGCATCTAGCAACAGCAGGTTTTGAGAGAAAGTTCAAGTTTTTTTGCATGAGAAAATTTGCTCTTTGTCAGAAATTCCTCCCTATTACAGATCATCCTATCTAAAGGATGAATTGTATTAATGGAAACTGTGCAAAAGACCTGTTACAAGCATTCTCCATGATCTAAATGAAATCACCATAAAGTGCAAAAATGGCATTTTTTATGCTTAAAATGAAAGAACATCAACACTAAGCAAAGTGCAATGCTGTGGAAAATGCACACACACTTCTGTGTGTTCGCTGCCCCGCAAAGGAAAGAATACAGGCAACTGCTCTTTATTACAGACTATATATTGCTTTCACTTGTAAACTCCATAAAAGTAGTACTGTGTTGACCTGTGAATATAAAGGGACAGTTGGTTTTAAAAACTTTTAAATGCAAAGCTAGATAGATACTGATAGAAAAATGCATGGGGTTAAGCAAACCACAAATATAAACACAGACTCAATTTCCATGTATGTATGCATGTAATGAGCTATGCACATTACATATACACTATACGTAATGAAAGTTTTATATCCTCCATGGGATATAAAGTTGGCCTGTTCTGAGAAAGGGGAAAGACTTGACAAATATAGAAATTAAAAGTTTCATCAGGTTTGAAAAGTATTCTATCTCTCAGTAAATCTTCAGGCATGGCAACTTTCTAAGCATTATCATTTCAAGTAGACTTGTACACTAGATAGCTCAGAAGAAAATGCATTCATTGACTAAGACAAGATCAAGAAGTTGGAGAACTGAAAATAAGAAAGTATAGACACTTTGAGAAAATAACATTCCTGTGAGTGGTTGCAAATTTTTCTTCTAAAACAGATATTCAAAATAACTTCTCATTTTTTTAAATACTGTATTTGAACATTTTCTTTAGCTGTTGCTTAACACACACAATAAGTATGCATACATAGATACATACACAGAGCATGCCTAAGCTTATGTTCTAATGGTTGACTATATAATTGTGTACACAAATGTGACTTTTGCTAATAAGCATCCATTATACCCCCATCACCATGACACTGCATTTTGTACTACAAACTCTAAAGTGAAAAGACCGAGTCAGTTTGGAATTAAAAGGAAAAATAATACTTCACGATTTTAGAATTAAAAATATTGCAGTACTTTAAACACTCAGGCTTCCTCATTTCATTTTTATTAAAATATTGCTGATTTATTTAGATAAGTGTGAAAGACAATAGGATTATTAATTATCCTGACAAGGAGCAAAAAAGCTGATTTTTTAAATTTAATTTCATGAAAATAGTAAGTGTAAATCTAAATCCGTTCCTCTAAAGCTAGACTACTATCCTCTGTCAAGCAAATCCATGTGTAGAATGCATACTCTTCTTTGATAAAAGCACTGTAAAGGAAGTCATGCATGAATAAAAGCTATGTTTTTCTTTCAGTAAAATAAATTTAATGTCACAACAGTTTTAATCTTTTCATGTACTGCTTTGTGTAAAAATCAGATAAAAGAAAATATAGCAGTTAAATGAAGATATTTAGTTCTTAGGATGAAGAACTGACAACCAATGTTCAAAATGTTAGTATATTTCCTCCACAGAATTCCTGTCTAGGACTTGCCATAAACATTCATTAAATCAGTTATAATCTCGGTCAACAAAACATTTACAAGTCATATACACTGTCAGTCCCAGAGACTAAACATAAATTTATTGGCAGATTGCCACTACAAAACAGTTAGTGTATCACTAAAGGACACTGGTTAACAAAATTATTTTTCCATGTGGAGTATTAGGCCTAGAAGCTAAACAGATAGCTTAGGTCCATGTGCTGAAGTTCAGTTAGCAGCCTGTATCTGTTTTAAATCCAGTTATCTCTAAACTATGCTTCAGAGTCTAATTTAGATCCATATTCTAAAATTTCCTAACACTGTAACAACTTGAAGATCAGAGTCTTATGTGCATAGTCACATCCACCTAAACTTTTTTTTCAAGTGATCTGGTAATAAGAATGAAAATTCCACTGAGAGGGAGAGGAAATCCAAACACCAAAACTAATTAGCCTGCAACTGAACTAATATCATTTTGTCCTGTTGAATTTCCCCATTGACTTCCTTAACAAGAGGTAGAAGACAGACATTTACAAAGCTGTACTCTGGCAGACACTCTAAATAGGTAAAGAAAATGTCAGTCTCTATAACATATAGACACACTTCTAGTAGGATCAGAAAGATAATGACATCATTGCTAATGTCAGATTTTAAGTGGTAATCTCTTTTCGCAGGTGGTTTGAGAGGGGCAAGTGAAAATCCCATTTGACATTTTTTCCCTAAGCTTTTCTTAACCATCAGTAGGAGGAGACAGAGTTCAGGAAGAGATGTCTTGCCTTTGCCTGGAACTACTTAAGGAAAAATTTAGCCAGATCTTTCTGCTCAAGGTGACAGCAGAAGCCATACTGTAGTGTCTAAAGCATTACATAATGCCACAAGAAGAACAATTTTATTTAGCTCTTATCATCTCTTTTTCACTCTCTGCTAACTGTTTCAACTGAGGTAGATCCAATCCCAAAAGAAATAGCATGGTCTTGCCATTAACCTAGGAATCTTCAGTTTTTGTTAGGACACTGATAAAACCTTTTATTTCCTCAACATGTTACATGTTTCACTGACCCCTGTTCTGGCATATTTGATTTTCCTTTATTGTTCACGGCTTGTACAGAAAACCAAAACAAATAAATCAGTGCCCTTCCTTTTGTGGCTCTTCTCAGATTTTTTTTTTTTCACCTGAAGTAAAATATGGTTAGAATGACAGCAGCAAACAGAACTGCCTGAATAGGACATAATATGGATTTCTCTGTTATTCCAGCATGTGTATGTGCAAAGGCTGGTTATGACTTCATCAAAACTTTTAAGAGTACATCGGACGACCTCAATATATCAACAGTTATATTCATACTTTCATCTGATGTGACAGTAGGTTTTATTTAAAACATATTTAGTCTCAGAAGCAAAGGCACTGCCAAATACCTTTCTCTTGTTGGGTTAGGCTTTATGCATATTCTTACCACTATCAGAAAGAACCTTTAACACCATTTAATCAGCAGCAGGGCAGCTTCAGTCCTCAAGTATATGTACCTGAGCACCAGGCACATGTGCAATTTCTCTGAATGAAATTGATACTAATTAAGGTATGTAGAAGAGGTAGTACCAAAATCACATAAAGACAACACAGCTCTTGACTCTTTAGCATGAGCAGTTAATGGTAATTTTTTTTCATTAACGTGGCAATACTGTTACAACAGATATAGCTGAACATATTGAACAAGGTGAATCAACATCTGATAATCTGCTTTACTGATTCACACACACACTGGGTTCTCTGCTTTCCTATACCACTTAACAGAAGGCTGACAAGGATATTAAGGAACTATACAAACAATTGGTGATGAGCAATAAGCCACCTCTGAGTACTAGACTCTTATAGGCTACAACCTTCTATAACCATGTAAGCCTAATAATCATATGTCCTGTGCTGAATATAGACAAAGAATGTAGGCTACTGGAACCTGCACTGAATTGGGTCAAAACTGTCATTGACTAACCTAAACATTTCCTATACTAATGCTGAATGAAAAGACAGAGGAACTGATATCCAAAGATTGTATTTCACCCAAAGGGAAAACATCACTGACAAAACAAAGATACCAGATAAAGTGGGCAGGAGACCTGCATGGATGAGCAAGGAACTACTGGCAAAACTCCAGCAGAAGAAGGAAGTGTACAGAATGTGGAAAAGGGGACAGGCCATTTGGGAGGAATACAGGGACGTTGTCAGAGTCTGCAGGGATGCGACAAGGAAGGCTAAGGCCCAGCTGGAATTCAATCTGGCAAGGGATGTCAAGGACAACAAGAAGGGCTTCTTCAAATACAACATCAACAAAAGGAAGACTAGGGAAAAAGCCGTCCCGCTGCTGAATGGGGCGGGTGCCCTGGTAACGAAGGATGTAGAGAAGGCAGAGTTACTGAATGCCGCCTTTGCTTCAGTCTTTACTGCTAAGGCCAGCCCTCAGGAATTCCAGACCCTGGGGACAAGAGAGGAAGTCTGGAGAGAGGAAGACTCTCCCTTGGTCGAGGAGGATCAGGTTAGAGATCTTTTGTCCAAACTCGGTATCCATAAATCATCCATAGGCCCCGATGGGATGCACCCACGAGCGCTGAGGGAGCTGGCGGATGTTATCGCTAGGCCACTCTCCATCATCTCTGAAAGGTCAAGGAGAACAGGAGAGGTGCCTGAGGACTGGAAGAAAGCCAGTGTGACCCCAGTCTTCAAAAAGGGCAAGAAGGAGGAGCCAGGAAACTACAGGCCTGTCAGCCTC